AGCCAGGGGCGGGGCCTGTGGGTGGGAAGGGGTGGGTTTACGGATTCTTGTACAATTGCTATAGTAGATCCTGCAGCCTAGTGCAAAAGCATTTACAGACGCGAATAGCATCTGTCTGTCAAGGAGGTATCAGAAAGCTCAGGTGATGGATGTACAATTAGCGGCCTTGTGAAACGTACACCAGAAAGCAAAACCCATGGCTGAGTCAGGCTAGATCAGGCTTATCGTGCTAATGGAGGCAGGCTTCCTACGTTACACAAAACCATGCGCACAGGAAACTACTACCTCTAAATGCTACATAATAGCAACAGTAACACACCTCATATAAAAGCAGCTTTCTTTTCCTATAGATGTGTCATGTGCTAATTGCTAAACTAAGTCACAGCCCTCTTGTGGATGTTAAAGGTACTGCTCACACAAGTTTAATGCTCTGATTTATCTTTCATTAGTATTTCGATTATATTTAGATTTAGTTTAATAAGTTTAAAAAAAAAAAACGACAAAAAACATTACAAAGGTTGATTTCCCTGTGTCATCTACTCCTGGTTTAGGGTCAAAAATGTTTTAAAAGTGAAGAGCTTGGATACTGGAGTAATCTGACTTTCCATATAATTAAGCTTTGTCTAGACATTTAGAAACCTTCAAATGCCAACAGATTATAAAGAACCAATTAATCTCCTCGGGTTGGCTGGCATTCCCAAGACAGGGGGCAGGGGGGCAACGGGGGGCGGGGGGCAGCGGGGGTTGGGGAGGCCCGTAAAAATACAGGGAACTTTCAAAAGGGGGAAAAAAATATGCGACGTTTGAAATGCAAAAGTACACGCTTGCTGGGAAATTAACGGCATGTGGATGTAAACGTAAGGCTCTTTGTAAAGTGGACATTTTCAAGATTTCAGATTTGGGGAAATTCGATACAGAGTGTTTTGGTTACAGGTAGCCATAGGCAGAAAAGAGAAATATTGCTGTTTTCTTGTGCAGGGCTGGCCGTGACGACGGGAGAAACCTTCTCTCCATGACACTCCTTCAGTGCCCCCCCTCAGTGAGACCACTTCCTTCGGATGCGATGAGGTATTAAACCTGGCCTCCCTGTGCAGGGCAGCTAAGCGATAGCAGGGTGTGACCGCGGTCAACCAGTGACCTAACTGCGGCTAACGATCCATGACCAAAGTGTGCAGTGGAACTCCGGCTAAAAATCCCCAAAGACACATTTCAAAAGGCTACATTGTTACAGCAACGGACAGAAAAGCACGAAGGGCCCTTTCCGCTTACGAGAAAAACAAAGAAATCCGACAGTGAATCCGACAGTGTTCACACGTACATTTTTCTGCTTGTTTGTTTTGAGAATTCTTCCAGAGAACGGTGAATCAAAAAAAGGCACAGGTAGCCAAAACGAATTTCCAGCTCGAGGTGAAAAAGTAAGCATTTCAGTAGCAGGAGACTGTCAATATGAGCTGAGCATGATGTTAACAGGACATTTGAACATTAAATAACTCTTTAAGGTCACATGTGCCCTTGTGTTCCTTTGGCTGCCAGTGATACCCTAAACTGCGGTTTTCTTGTGCATTACTTCTGAATCTGTGGTGCCATAGAGGGCGTGCACCATTTTGGCTCTGAGAGTGAACATGACTCATTTGAGTATTGTGAATGATATTTAACACTTCCAGGGAACGCACCATTTTGGCTCTGAGATCCAGAAAACATTTTCTGGGTATTCTGGGCCACAGGGGATAAACCCACAGTATGAGGTGAGCTGGTCTGTGCTAATCGCCTTGCTCCTTGTGGAACACAGCACACCGGGGCCTCCTAGTGGCTGGGCAGTTTATTTCAGGTACATGTCTCACTTCAGATCTAGGTTCTAGTTTATCCTGCGTGTGACTGTTTGCAGATCTGAATCTAAGTGACGTTCCTTAAACGTCGGACAGGAACACTTTTTGCACTATATAAGCCCCATAAAATATAGGGCACATGCATATTTATGTATTTAGACTTCGCATGATCTTTTTGTGTGGAGAAGCTGCTCAAGCTTTAGGCGAAAACACCGCGCGATGGTGTGGATCCACTGAAAGTCGTGTCTTAATATCCATGCTGCAAACTACGATTTCACGCCCGGACTTTTCCTGGAGACGGTCGAATGTCAGCAGCGAGAGCAGGTCCCAAATAAACACAGAACTCCTAATCTGTGTATGAGTAGAGAAAAATAATTTTTTTTCAAATCTATAACTAATGCCAGAGGTGCCAAAGACGCAGTAAATTTCACAGAAGGCTCCGCGAAAACACTATAAAGGTAATTTATGTGTCATTCTGTTTAAGAAGGGTCTTTGATATGATTCAGTTTGCCTGCTGAAGCCAAGGTGGAGGAGGTCTTTGAAGACTGAATATGTGGGTCAAACAGCCGGGACATTTTCCTTTAATGACCGGCCCCAGCATTTGGACCCGTGCGTGTGTGCTAAAGTGCTTAGCGGGCTGCTAATTAGCCTGGGGGGCCCACGTGGAAATTTAGTGCAGGATTGGCAACGTCACGGCGACGCCCCTCTCCCAAAAATGCCCCGCCGCCCCTCTCCTCTTACGTGTGTGTGGTTCAAAGCCACACAGGTCTGGAAACTCTGACTCAGGGTATGCACGCAGCCCGGTTAGCCAAGAGCAGCTTCCACGCCTGGACTCTGCAAGTTTGATTTCCGAGTCTGCGTCCATATCTGGGAGTTTGCTGGTTCGAATCCGATCATTTTTGGGCCTTCGAACGAGACACTCAACCCCATAAGCTGCTTCAGGGGGGGCGGAAAAATGGCGGCTATATGCCGTGACCTCAAGCTTTGCTTTTATCCAGATATCTGTGTGAGACTCATACAACGGATGTGTAAAATCTCAGAAATTCCTGTGTACCTGCTCTTGTACAAATAGCAAATTAAGTATCACTATTATTAAATAAAATCTCCTGGAAGGTTGGTATTACTATTTAAAGGCATCAAAAAAATCCCACCAGGATGAGGTGGGCTGGGGGTTCAGTTGAGTAATTTCCCTGCGGTCTGGCTTATATGTAACTGACATTATTTACAAATCCGTGCAGTTTTCATGAGTCTGCTTGCTGAATCATGCCTGTTGTTATGGTGTCAGTTTCTCCAGTCGCCTAGCAACCGCTCACAGCTGACCAAAACGTCGCGTGTGACGATTGCCCTCTCGTAAATGAAGCAACAATCCCCGGGCTCGGTACTTTCCGTAACCGGATCTCTCTTGAGAAAATATAAAAAATAATAATAACGGCAGCAGCCTCTGTTCCCACAACGAATCAGCACCTGGAGCAGAGGTCAAAGCGGGTCACTGCCCCTAAGGTAGCTTCCCCCTACGACCAGCGGATGGGTCACAAGCCATACAGCCGGACGACAAGATGAAAACTGCCAGAGTCACAAAAACCGTGACCTAAGGTGGCTGGAGGGATGTTTGTGTGGCAACCGGCCTGTTAAACATTCGCTAACACACAGACCCTAACCCCCCAGGGTATGAATGAGCACTGACTCACTCTTTCCATCAAATGGGCAATGTGGGATGTCGGACTCTGTCATCAGCCCCCGAACCGAGGACCACTGTTCCAGGGAAGAGGTCCGGGAGTTTGCCCTTGTTTATATACCGTGACGACTCAGAAAAAGACAAACCAATGAGCTGCCACAGGTTACCAGCCGCTCCACCTCCATCTCTAAGATGGAGGGGCGGCTACACGCTCCAGACCACAGGATGAGTAAGAAATTCGGAGATTCAGGAACAAACCGAATTAGGCGACACAAAGAAGCCACACGCTGCCTGACTCTCCCTCCTGAAGTTTTCGTCAGAAGAAAATGTCAAGGAAACTATGCAACCTTTAAAGGTAACCATGTTCAGGCCTGTAAACGGGCAAAAACACATCCGAACACTACAGAACAACAATTGCAAACTGGTTTCTAGGAAAGTTTGTGGTTACGGTTAGCCTCCTGGGGTTTGATGGGTAGGGATAGGGTTAGCTTCCTGGGGTTTGTTGGGTAGGGATAGGGTTAGGTTTAGGGTTAGCTTCCTGGGGTTTGTTGGGTAGGGATAGGGCTTATGCATGCTAACTGTATTCTGTCCCCATAGCTTATTTTTAAAGGTTTATCCTACTTCTAACTTCGCAAATGGCACCGGTTCACATTAGTGGATGCACGGGCCACTACTGGGACCAACCAGAAGCTGGCAGCTTTATAAGGCCTGGCCAGGAGAGGGCGCCAAATTCTGACTGGGTGACAGATCACCACACCTGTGGAAGGACAAGGCTGCACCAGGGGATGCATGGAGAGGTCCAGTCACCTCCCCCGACTAAGATATATCTGGTTGTCAGAGGGGGGAGTCTGACAGCTTGATTTATCCTCATCACTTCGTAACAACACAAATCAACACACAAAATCAAGCCCCTGTCTGAGAAACCCTAGAGCTCCCATCAAAAACAAGACATCTGAAGGCTGGCCAGACCCCCACCACTCCCCATGGCCAAAAAAACAAGGTGAGAACAATTCAAAATATGATGGTTTCTGGAAGAGGATGGAGCGTGGGGGGAGGGGGGGGCAGACAGACTGAAGAAGCCCCCACTTCTTTCCAAGAGGCAGCATAAGAGCCCAGTGTATCACCGTGAGGAGATTCAAAACGAAGCTGAAACCGGTTCAGCCGCAGGTTCCAGACTAAGTGAGACGAGCTCCGTCAGCCTTGCCAAACGATGAAAGGCAGCGACTGGCGGGAATCTCCCTGGCAGCGGGAAGAAAACGCTTCCCGGCCAACTCATATTTACGACACAGAGCAGCTCGGCCAAATCAGACAGGGCCGGTCTTTGGGGGAAGAACCTTCACAATCTCCAAATACGTTTGGTAGAAAAAATCTTCACAATGCGTTTGATAAAATAATTAGCAATGCTAGTTTAATGCCAATTATCGATAACTTTCTAAATCAAATGTCTCTATTAACAAAAGCTCTCCAAGTATAACAAAACAATATGCATAACAGTGAAATCATTAACGTCGTTTTTTTAATAACACTGAGGCCTGAACTCAGAACAAACCGCAGCGGCAAACAGCTCATTTTATTACCTGCCAAAATGTCTTTTTTTAAACCTCCCCATTTACGAATTTCTACTCCTGCTTCGGAGAAACACCGCTTCGGGGATTTAAAGCATTCGCATCCTGTCGGTGTAAAAATAGTAACGGTACACCAGTGACCTTTAATAAGCAGAAATGTGGAAGGCAGGCCGGGAGACGACGACGAACCGGGGAAAACCCTGATCCGCCGGTTTAGCGCGCACGCCCGCGGTAAATGAAAGCAATACAAATAGAGCATGGGGTGGTGCCATTAAGATCGTGTCACATTTCATAGTTTTCCCAAGCCAATACGGTAACTTAATGTAACTGATGCAACAAAGCAACGAACTTTAATATTTATATCATCGCAAAGGTGGCCTGACTTGCTTTAAAAAATCAGTACAATTAACAAAATGGACTGATGCCATTGTATTGCATATTCACTGTGTGCTCGATTACAAAAATCTTATTGAGATTGAACAAAATCTCGAAACGACGCATCCCCAACTACGAACAAAAAAACAGTGATGAATTATGGGATGTAGGCACATTTAAAAGAAAATACATTTTTACTTTACATTTTCACATTCAAAAGCCATGCATCCCATCTTTCATGGTCAAAAGCACTTGGTATAAATGCATATTATACAGAATTGTTTAACTTCGTATGGGCATTATTGGGTCTTACAAGAAACATTTCTCTAAAAACCAAGAAGACGCTGTAATACTCCCCTCTGCTGGCAAGTGGCAGTATTTACACAAACACTACAGCAGCGTGATTATGATTCCTGTGAAGAAACCTGTGTTTTTGAGTCATTTTGGGTAAAAATCCTACACCTTCTTCTTCTTCTTCTTCTTGGTTCGGGGGGGTTCAGAATCCGCATCCAGATCGGCACCATATTCCTTTTCCCGCTTCCTTTTCTTGGGCTTCTTGTTGCTGTGGACTTCGTCAGAGAGTACAGCAGGCACCTCGTCCATGTGGACCTCCTCAGCCTCTGTGCTGCCTTTTCTACTTTTGTGTTTCTTTCTTTTTCTTTCGTCACGCCCGTTCACCTGGACTTCCGCGATTCCGGCGGTGTCCGCAGTGATTTCCGCTGTCACCTGAGAATCTGTTGGGGCCTCAATGTCCCAGGATTTGTCCTTTTTCTTCTTCTTCTTCTTGGTTTTCATGCAGTCAGTTGAGTCCTCAGCCATGGGTTCGATGGTCTCCTCCTTGGATATGACACTGTCCTCCACAGACACATCTTCTCCTTGTTCACTGAGGGCCACCAGCTCTTCAACCCTGAAAGGAATTAGATGGTTTGTCTTAAGAAAGCCAGTAACGAAGTCACAGTCCCTGTCTGCCCCGATTCATGGCTCTGCTCTACAAAAACCAAGAGCTTCACTGTTCACTCTCAACCCTCAATTGTTTGTAAATGACAAACATGCCGTATTTTACAGAATCTGTGTGAACATAAAAGTAGAGCTGTCACTATGAATTATATGAATAATCAAATAATCTACGGGTTAATCTGATATTTCACAGAATAATAATTTTTACATAAGATAACATAAAACACAAATGCTCCCTGGATTACGACAGTCCAAGTTACGATATTTTGACTTCCCAATGGGTACGTTTCTTTCGGTTTCAGTACATTATTCAATAAATTACATGTGATATTGAACATGATTTGGCCCAACTATAGGCTAATGTAAGGGTTCTAAGCATGTTTTTATAGTAGGCAAGGCTATGATGTTTGTTAGGCTGAGTGTACTGTACTAAAACCCATTTTAACTTTACCATAGGTGTATCGAGATGTTATCAAGAAAAAAATGCTCTTCTTGTTTTATCCTGTTCATTTTGTGTTTAAATGCTAATATATATATATAGGTGTAATTTTGGGGGGCCGGGAACCAATTAATTGGTTTTCCATTATTTATTATGGGAAAAATTTGATCAGAACTCGAACTTTTTAGGATTTGATCCGGAGTCCGGAACGGATTCAATTCGAGAACCGAGATTCCACTGTATTTTGTATTCCTTAGACTATATTAAGCAAAAGCAAGTGATTTGTCAGCACTGCTTTGTGTCTGTTAGCATAACTCACACCGTCAACATCTGACACACGCTATTGGGAAATAAGTTGCATTTAGCTACATAGTTCATTTTCAACTGCTACATATTGCAAATATCGCAATGTGAAATAAAATAACATTTTAATGTTAAATGATACGTCCCCATTTTGTTCAACCCTAAAGCAATATGTTAAACTAATAACAATAACAAAATTAAAAAGACACATTATACGGTCTATCACATTACAGGCCTACCATATTCTGTAAAATGAGGCGGCCAAGCGACAGCTAACCTTCATTTTGGCAGCGATTGTATATTGAGTTCTTTGTACTTTTAGAGCCATTCATAATTTGGTATTGTAATATTTATTAGGATATTGCTTGTATATAGTTTACATAATTATATATATATATATATATATATATATAATATAACATTTATATAATATATTGTTTGTATATTGAGTTCCTAGTATTGAAGTCATTTGTATTTTTGGTATTGTAATATTTGTATTATTTGTTATTGATATTTAACTTAATAATTTTCTTACTGTACTGAATCCACATAATTTCCTCAGGGATCAATCAAGTATTCTGAATCTGAATTACTCTGACATACAGGAACCTATTTTCGTTCACTTTTAATGTTAAGTGCTTCCACAGAACTGATACTTTCGCTCTTTTTTGCGGCATCTTCCTTCCGCCATATTGACAAGTAATCGTGAAGGGAATTTTTCACCAATGCTTTTTAATAATCGAGTTTAATCGTGTAATCGTCACAGCTCTATACAGGAGCTGCAGGCGACAACCGAACGAAAGGAAATACTCTTACAGCAGGTACACGCTTACAGCAGGTACACGCTTACAGCAGGTACACGCTTATTGGAGAGGTAGGGAAGAGGCCAGTACTGAACCTTTTATTCTCCAGCCTTCCTCTGATGAGGAGCACACCGGCGGCGTCTGCGTCCAGCTGGAAGACCTCGAACTCCAAGGTGTCGCCCACAGCGAAGCCGGCCTGCCTCCAAGCCTCCACGCTGACCTGGTACGGCTTGGGGATGGAGGCGTTGAACGAGTCGTGCACTAGACACCCCACGTGACTCACTCCCACTTTGTTTATGACACCCTGAAAAATGGACGACTGCGTTTAAAACCCCAGATGAAGAAAAGAGTCCCGATCAACAACAAAAATAATTGCCCAACACTGCCTCATATTTAAGCTATTTACAACATTGGTCCATTGCCCTGCAAGAAAATACGCTACACATCTCAAAATGATTTAAAAAAGAAAACAGGGTAACACTTTAACTGACGGGACACAAATACATCAGGGCTCTTCAACTCTGGACCTCGATTCCAAATGCAGGCCTTGATTTCACTTCTCCCATGTACTTAGTTAATTAATTACTGATTCTGATTGGCCAGAGGCTTCACACCTGGCTCACAGGCAAAGGAAGGCTGGAAAACCAGCAGTGCTCAGACCTTTAGGTCCGTGATCTGAATACACTAGTATTATATTATTACGCTACTTCCTATGTATTAACCATAAACTGAATCTTAGTTACATACTGATCTCATGTTCATTCCTCATTAATGAATTGTTACACATCTTTTATCCCAAGCAGTAACTATTGCTGTAGTTGCTATATCCGTTAATTTTGTAATCATTTGTAAACTGCTAAAGGAACCACTGAAGTAACAAATCATGAATAACACAAGTGAAATACTGATCTCATGTTTGTTCATCATTAATGAGTCATGACGCATCCTTTATCTCAAGTAGCAACTATTTTTGTTTATGATTTGTACTTCAGTAGTAACAGAGTTACTACTAAGTATTTGTGCCCCATCAAGTAAAGTGATACCAAAAACAGTTCAATTTCTTTTACAAACAGGAGGCATACCAAAAGCTTTTGTCCTTTTCTGGGCCGAAAGATCACAAACGTCGCCTCTATGTTGAGGTGGATGAACCCTTGGTCGTCGTATATATCCCCGTGTTGTCCCAAGACTTTAATGCTGTCGTAGGCTAGGGGCACCCCGTTCATACTGGGGAAAGGAACAAAAAGATCTCATTTTAAAAACTGTTTCACTGAAAAGCAACGTCGTAATATTTTGGACAATCCAGTCATTGTTAGGCAGAGTCCACTACCTCGTGTCCCCCCCAGTATAGCGCCATTCCATGTCCTTCTACTTATATTATGTGGAACACGCTGGTACAACCTTGCCATCACCTACCAGTAACTAAACTAACATGACTCTCCAGATATTTAATACTGGAGGGAACTCGATATTTTTCCCCATGTGTTTGAAAACATATTACAGATCATTTCATCTTTAAATGCACCGCACCGACGTGCAGTGACAGTAACATTTTGCAGAGCAGCGCTGGTGCGATTCGCCGCCTGTTTTACGAACAGCCTGGGGAATGAGACGCGCCTCTCGGAGTACTTGAGCAGCTCGCAGTTCAGCTGCTCCTGGATGCCCGTCTTCTTCTTCTTCAGGAACATCGGCGAGAGCGCGACGTGCCGCCGGGTCGTGTCCAGCACCAGGCACGAGTACGGCGCGCTCACAAACTGGCAGGCGTCCGCGAAACTAGGCGGCAAACACGGCGTCACACCCGCGCTCCCCGCCGTCCCGACCATCCCAGATGCCGGAGCCTTGGCCTCTGTGGACGGGCCGCCGTTCTTCACCTCCGTCTCCACCTGCTGCAACTTCGCCATGCTGCCCGGAAGTTCGAAAACTACGACAGAGGAAGTAAGGATGCAACGCTCGAAGATTCAGCGACTTAGCGGTTGCGCCCCCGTGCGGAAAGGAGGTTTTAAACCGTCCCAACCAATTTAGTCGCTACTTGGTCACTTAGCCGTATACATAGCTGTGTATTTTAACAGAGGGATTCATATTAACGACGGCACAGTGGCGCAGTTGGTAGCAGTGTTTCCTTACACCTCTGGGGCTCGAGGTTTGAATTCAACCCTCGATCTGTTTGGGTGGAGTTGGTATGTTATGAAGACTCCTGTCCAAAGGTATCCAGGTGATCAGGCATCACTAATTTGTCCACAGTGCTTGACGATGTGTGTGCCCTGCAATGCACTCCTGTCTCATCCTGTTGAAGGTGTATCTCTGCTGCTTGGGATTTGCTGTAGTCCTGATGGAATCATGGCCACAGGAATACAATTACAACCTTCCCCTATGATATGAACCAGCAGTCTTCCTGCTGCAGTGCTGTATCCTGAACCACTACGCTGAAGCCAAATCACTAAACAGGTGTAATACTGGGGAAAATTCAGAGGTGCAGAGAAACATGCATGTGCTACTAACAGCTGCTTCTAAGGTTGAACCCTTGAATGTGTGGCTCAAAATCACATTTAATTGCATTACATTTTCTGCACTAGGAAATATTCTTTTGGAAAATAACAGTAGTCGAATTATTGCTAATATGATGTTGTATAAATTAAAGTATTAAACTAACAACCAGATTGTTGTGTTTTTTCCCCAAAAATACATCTGAAAAACTGGAGCAGTCATTTTCCAGGGCTAGAATTCAAATGTCATTATACAACAGCAGAGGGCGTAAATTATCCTGGCTAAAGGTCACCGCATAGTTCAAACGTAATCGACGTTGTTTCAGCAATACGACACTGTATGGACAGTGATCCCACCCGCTGTCGATAATTGGCTGACATAATCCCACCCACTGTCGACAATTGGCTGGCACAATCCCACCTGCTATCGACAATTGGCTGACATAAAGTGAAGCCGTGGGGTTGGTCAGTAGCCGGCATGCTTTTTATGCACCGCGCTTATCATTAAATGGCGTATATTAATATGTGTATTCGTATATTTATGTTAATTGTAAATATCGTAGCTGTGTAATGTTTGCCCTGGAATGTGACCGTGAGTCGCATGTTAACTGTTGGTTTTCTTGTCTATGTCACTGCTAGTATTAAACCGATAGTGCCTATTGATAAAGAGAGTATTACATTTCAAATGAATTGTCATATTCTTTATTAAAATGACTCGCCACAATAAATTTTTTTGCTCTCTTTATGTGGGTCTACTGCATCAAAAACATTCTGCGCTCTCTTGGGTTATGGCTTTGTAATATTGATTATCTATTTGCACTTTGCGGCGATTGCCTGTGGTTATTTTCAACAGTGATATGTTTAACTTCGTCTATGTTCCGGTCAAAAAATATTTTTCTCTATAAAGGTAAGATTTGGTAGCAGCCGCCTTGCTTCAGAGAGTGTTGACATCTTTTTGCAGAAGAACCTCACCATATAGAAATAGGTATGTCATTAGGGTACCAACTTGATTTTGCACTTTGTATTATTTTTACATTTATTGTTACCTATACACGTATGTACCCTGTTTATATAAAATAGAGAAGGCAAATCACTTCCTTGTTGCTAAAGCTTTTGCTAACACAAAATGCTTAGACAGGTAGCTCAGTTGACATTACACTTTATTATTTCTAAATTTATTATTTCTTGGCCAGGACTCCCTGGAAGAAGAGATAATGTATCTCAATGGGACATTCCTGGTAAAATAAAGGATAGATAAAATAAAAAATAAAATAAATTTGATGTTGCCTGTACATGTCATTTAAAATTGTATAGACAAACCACATACATGTTATCAAAGTTAAGAAGCACTTTTAATTTAAATGTTTTTATCTGCTTGATTTCATATAGGAGAGACATCAACTAGGCCCAGTTAGTCATGCTGCCATTTTTCTGAATGGGGAGTCGTCATATGGGAATACAAAGAGTTCATTGTAGAATAAAAGGGTGATGTGTTTTTATTTTCTCCTTAATAATAATAATTGATACTTTATTAATCCCCGTGGGGAAATTGTCTTTACGCCTCCCTCAACTTGCTCTTTGTGGAGCAAGCTGTCCACGAAGAGCAGCCACTCGTAGCTGCGCCCAGGGAGCTGGGGGTTAAGCGACCTGCCCAAGGACCCGCAGACGTGCTCAAGTGTAAAGATACCAAAACCATAGTGTCGTCATGGCCTAAAAGCTGTGACACATACCAAACTGTAGAAAACTGTAAGTTACACCCCTAATATTTATGGCGGCAGGCATGCATGTTGTCACGGGGGCATT